CCAGCAGTTAAAATAGTTATAAAACTAGTAATTTTAATCTTATTATTATTATTTAGAATTTATTTAGATTTTTTGCTATTAAAAAATTCTTTATATTAATCTAAATAGTTAAAAAATAGTTAATAAATATTTTTTAAAATATTTAATAAATATTTATTAGCTGTTTTATTTATAATCTTTTAGTTTATATAGTTTTTCTTATTTTTCTTATTTATATCTAGGCTTTTATAAAAGTATATATAAAACTTAAGATTATTAGTACTTAAAAAATACTTCTAAAGTAGTTATAAAATAATTAATAAAATATTTAATAAATAGTTAGAAAGTATTTATTTTATTTTTACTATAGTTAGAATAGTAATAGAAAATTTTTTTATAATTAATAATAATTTTTCCGGCGGTATTTTAAGTAGTTAATAATTATTTAATAAATAGTTAGAAAGTATTTAAATATTTACTTTATTATATTCCAATAATTTTAAGTATCCAGTTTTAATCTTATACAGATACTATTAGTACTATAACTATTTTATTAAAATTTTATTAGTTTTTTATTAAACTTTTATTTCAAAATTATTTTAAAATTATAAAAAATAATATAAATAATAAATAAGTATTTAATAAGTAATAATACTTATATTCTTAAGTATTTACACTATAATTAAGAATATAAAAAAAAAGTAATTGGTAGTAGTAGTAGTAATATATAAAAAATATAAAAAAGATAATATAAAATAAAATTTTAAATCAGTTTAAATAAGAGATTGTGTAGAAATCACGTGACTAAACCGCTTAGTAAGCAGTTTTTATTCCACGCGACGCTAAAAAACAGCACAACTGATCTGCAACCTCACCCCGCATCATCATCATCACTACGACAGGCTTTCCCGAGATCCGAGATTCCGCAATGACCGAGAAATACTCATATAATTAATGTAATACGTTGTCTAAAAATGACCATATCAAATGACTGACAAGGCCCTTGCTGCAGCCACATCGTTAGTACGGTTACAGGACCTCTGCCAACCACCCCTTCACCCTCCTCCCTTGGACCGTCTCACCCCACTCGCCCAGCGCCAGATTATAGATCGGCGCCACATGACCTTCACCCTCACCCACGCACAACTCCACCTTATCCGGCCCAAGCCCTTCCTGCAAGTTCCTGGCGAATGCAGTAATGAAAGGCAGAATGATCTCCCTCTCCCCAGCACAGACCAATACCTTCTCCACAGGGAAAGACGCCAGCCAGTCGGTTGGGGCCGTCGAGAGATCGGTGTAGTAGTCATGTTTGCCAGTACCCATGTACGCCTTAGCCCATGGCCCGCCAACGGCCGGGGTGATGATATCGCCCCGAGAGTCGATTTTTGACTCGTCCAGTTCAATCGAGGCAACAATATCCTTGGGTAAGATAGTCTGGTCAAGACTCGTCCAGGGCGCGATCATGATGGCGCCGCGGATTTTGTGGTCCGGCCCGGCGGACAAAGAGAGAGGTGGAAGATCGGGATGGGGATGGGTCATGTGCGCGAGGACCGCCCCGACGAGATTCCCGCCGGCGGAATCACCGCCGAGGAGGATCTGCGACGCAGAGCGGTTGGTTTCCTGGAGGATGTATCGCAGTGCTGAAAGGGCTTGGCGGATCTGGGTGGGATAAGTCGCTTGAGGGGCGAGGGTATAGGTGAGGGTAAAGATCGCAAGTGATTTGGGTTTCGGCCTAGATTGAGTATCCGCGAGTAGTTGAGTGAAGAAATGAAAATAGCCGTCGTTGGCCGGAAGGGCGAAACCACCTCCTAGAATACCATGAGGACCCGGTTTTACTTGGTGGGACGAGGCGCACATACCGTGATACCAGATCATGACACGCTCAGCATGCTCATAGTCCCCCAGCCAGTGTCCCAGGGCACCTTCGCCAAGATCCACAGTCTTCGAGGGCAGATGATGGCGGCGCATGAAGCGCTTATAGATGGATTCTGTGGTAGGAAGCAGATATCTAAGCCGCTCGCCGTCAGCCAAGCTAGTCCCCTAATGAATAGAGGAGAACGCAGAAGCATACTGCAGCTGGGCCACTGAGAAGCGTGATGTAGCTTTGCGCATGGCTGCATAACCCACGTGTAACAGCAGAGTTGAAGGATAATGATGGGTTCGCCAGGGACTGGTCACCAAAGCCCAGAGGATAGTACCAATAAGCGCCGCGAGAGCAGGCAGACAGTCGAGTTTCTGGAACAAAGAGAGAGCTGTCATTGTGGCCAGGTCACACAAAGGTAGCCTGTGCAGAACAATGTGTGCAACATGGGGAATATATGTGATAGGAGAAAGATTATCAACAAATGCCCGACTTGCAGGAAAGAGGGACCGAAATGGAGTCGACATGTGAGCGGGATCGCAACTGTTGCCATTTTGAGCAAGGATGAACCAAACGCCCTGAAGTTGAGATTTCGGCGTTGAGCTAAAAACCCAAAATTGGCCGCATTTTGGCCTCAACCTCGGACGAACACCAAAAAATCATCCATTGACCGAGGCCATGTGAGTCGATTCAGAATCGATATAATCCTGTCTCTTCAACCGGCTCAATGTCGTTCATTCTTCTCGCACACCTCCTACACTTCCTATCACATCACCATGGAAGAAAAGTTTGATGTCCTCATCATCGGCGCGGGCATATCAGGCATCAACGCCGCATACCGCCTGCAGTCGCATTTCCCTCGCTATCGCTATGCCATTCTTGAAGCACGCGACCAGCTCGGAGGAACCTGGGATCTCTTCAAGTATCCTGGTATCCGCTCCGATTCGGATCTTTTTACCTTTGGTTTTGCATGGTATCCTTGGGACCAGGACAACCCGATCGCTGAGGGCTCGTCCATCATCGAGTATCTTCACCGGGCTACCGCCAGCAAGGGTATAGACCGGCGCATCCGGTATCAGCATCGTCTGCTGGGCGCCGACTGGTCCTCTTCAGAGAAACGCTGGTCGTTGGCTGTCGAGCATGCAGGCCGCTCCCAGTCGATGTCGGCGCGGTTCATCATTTTCGGCACTGGCTACTACGATTACCAGCAGCCTCTGCAGGCGGACATTCCCAACTTGACTCAATTCAATGGCCAAATAATTCACCCGCAGTTCTGGCCCGAGGACCTTGACTATAGCGATAAGCGCGTTGTCATCATTGGCAGCGGCGCAACGGCCATCACATTGCTCCCCAAGATGGCCGAAAAGGCGGCGCGAGTGACCATGTTGCAACGCAGTCCAACTTACATTCTGTCCTTACCCAATCGTCAACGCTCACCACTGCGGTACATCCTGCCGACTGCCTGGTTTCGCCAACTGCAGCGCATACTCTGGCTGTTCACCGCGCGGTTCTTTTTCCTTTTCTGCCAGGCTTGCCCAACAGTGGCGCGTGCCATCCTCCGTGTGCAAGTCAGTCAACAGCTACCGAAGGCGGTGTCACTGGCACCACATTTTGTGCCGCGTTACAATCCCTGGGACCAAAGGTTGTGTGTCTGCCCCGATGGGGACTTCTTCAAAGCGTTGCATCACGGTGTGGCCGACGTTCGGACCGACACCATCAAGAGCGTTACCGCAACGGGGATTCAGCTCGACTCGGGAAACACCCTTGATGCTGACATTATTGTCACTGCAACAGGACTGCGTCTGCAGGTAGCGGGCGGAGCCTCCATCACGGTAGACGGTATTCCACAGCACCTATCTCAGAAGTTCCTCTGGCGTGGTATTATGATGCAGGATATCCCCAATGCTGCTTTCGTTCTAGGCTATACCAACGCTTCATGGACACTCGGCGCTGATGCGACTGCCCGCTTCCTGTGTCGCTTCCTGCGCGAACTGGACACCCGTGGACAGGCTGCCGCTGTGCCGCGGTTGCGCTCTGACGAGGCCCAGAATTTGCAGCAGAAGCCGCTGATGAACCTTAATTCGACGTATGTGGTGCGTGCGGCGGAGAATCTGCCCAAAACTGCAGATCAGGGGCCGTGGGTGCCGCGGGACAATTATTTGCAGGACCTCTGGTTTGCCAAGTTTGGGAGTCTGGAGGGACTGGAATTCATCGGAGAGGCCAAGAAGGCGCAATGAAGTGGGGCTGGCCTGATTGTTGTTATGTCAATGTTCAGTCTTTGTTTTGTGTCGTTGTACCCAGTACCATAGATGACAATTCAAACATGTTTTGCTCCAATATGCGACCAACGCAAGTTCCGAAACGACGGTCGCGTGGAGGGGCTGACCTCGTCGAACGGGGAATGCTCTGCCAAACAATTTGAAGTGACAACGACGACGGCCAGCTTGAGAGGTCTACTAGGCACAGATCTTTGTGATATATGCCAGCCACACATCAGGGTCGCTATTTGAGCTGATTGGCAGAGGAATCAGCCCTATCTCAAGATGGTTCTGTTTCAAACCATCAGTCGCTCCTTCATGATGCCACTGTCAGACACCTCGGGATTTTCTCCAAGTGTGCAAAGATTGTTTGCAGGGTGGTCACGGCTGTAGTAATTGCCCCATACACCTTCCCTTGAATTCAAAAAAGAACGGGACCACTTATAAAGTAACCCTTCAAAACCTTCAGCGTCAAGGTCTTACTTTGTGGTCCGAAAAGTGGCTGTACCGAAGCGCGTCTCGAACGTAAAGTGGTTGGTACGGGAATCGGAACGGCGCCGACCGCGGGGCAAGATTCGCGGTCGCCCGGGTGCGCGCGTCGAGGCGATGTTATCGGCGCATATGACGGAGAGGCAACTCTCTGCGACAACCTCTAGCGAGCATTGAACCCAAGTAGCGCCATTCCATTAGATCAAAGTGGACAATCTCGTCGTCCAACCGGTAAATACACATAAGAAAGGTGATAGATGTAGATCGGTGAAAGATACCACTTCTTCGCATAGGTTATCCATCGCGACTTTCTCCAGCGGATTTCCCCAAAGCCGTCCAGACCAAGGATATCATTGTCCAGATCAGTTCATGTGTGTAGTGCGTGCTCTTCGCGATCGCGCATAGCGTGGGCAATTGTAAACCGGAGAACAGCTGCCGTGATTGGCGCGGATAGGATCGGGTCTGATTTGCGACATTGGATGGCAGCTAGTCAAATTAGATCTGTCAGCTACAAAGGACGCGGCGTACCCGGCCATTACGCCGTGCGAAAGTAAACAAGTGAGCGCTGGCTGCGCACGTCGGAATTTGTCAGGTTGAATCATCTCGCTCGTCGATCGAACAGGATATTCCACACCAGTGAGTCAGAGAGAAGAGATATTTGATGGCGATGGAGATATAGACGAGAATCACAATTGAGAACGTAGGAAGTAGTTTGATGCGCATTGCACGAACATGCGCGTAACTCCTAAGCTAGATTCTGAGCCATGCTCTCAAAATAAGTCCTCGAATGAGTACTATGCGATCACGATCGGTTACCATACTAGATTCGAGGAAAACCAACCCATGTTATCGTTGGCGCACGCGGCAGACAACGCTGGGGTGTCACGGGTAGATACTTCTTGCATTGCCCACGCAATGGCAGTCATCAATAGCACGTTGGTCGCATAGTCGAGACTTAGCGAGCAATGGACTGGAAAGGTTCGGCATACCCAGTGTTGCTGTCATGCGCGAATTACTCCACATGTGCGATGATAGATTTAGCATAGTAGAAGCGCGCCCGATGTTGCTATGAAGGGGTCTGGCCATAACCCCAATCCCGCGCCGATCATGATTGGCGAAGGGGTTCTCTTATGTTTCCTCTCAGCTCTCTTGTTCAATCCGACCTTCGCCCCCTCTTTTTGCCTTCTTTTGCCTTTCGAAATACGTTTTCGAAATATGCTGCAGCTCAGGTGTTGCGCTCGTATCGCTGCGAATTTTCCGGCCGATACGATGGACTGTTTCAGGCACGGATCTTTTGAAAGGACAGTTAACCTATGAGGTCTTATGACACTTTCAGATTGATTAGTATGTATTGACTGATTTGTTTCTTGCGTTAGACTCAGTGATGGCTGGCTGGGGAGAGGATGGTGGTGGTGGTGGTGTTGGTGTTATTGTGTAAAAATAGGCAGGAACGGTCGGAGTGTCAGATTGTCAGATTTGAGTCCATCTCGGCCCCCCTCCCTAGAGACAAGTTCTCTCACTACTACAAACTCTCCAACACTTCGTACGGCTTCGCTCATTCCATATATGCTACTCCTTGCAAGTCTCTGGGGGAATTCAGACCCTGCTAAACTATTCGCTTGTTTTATCCCCATCATTTTCACCTTCCGCTCTGGAGAAACTTACCCTTCCCCTCAAAAAAGGAGCGACAAGTTACCACAGTCAGCGCATCCTGAAGAGCTGATGGTCTCGGTCTTTGTCTATCCTAGACCGTCTAGGATGAATCCCAGACATGCATTAGCTTTCAGCCAGCCAGCAAGTCCTCTCTTTTTTGAGTCATCTCTATTCCCCTGAATCCGTCTAACACTAAGCCCAACGGCCTCCCCGAAATGCAACTCAAGCCACAAGTCTTTCCCTAGTTATGCCTACCACTGTAGGATAGGACGACTTGACCGAAGCTGTCTTCGGATCTCTCGATTAAGAGACAGATAATCAACAAATGATCAACCCGTGAAGCTGATGCGAACCTTTTGAAAAAAAAAAAAAACCATCATTTTTCCATAAAATAAACACTTGCTCTGTGCGTAGCTCGTCCTGAGAGCCATGAAGATATCACTAACCGTGAGGAAACATGGTCTCTAGACGCACTCATTAGGCAGACTAGCCCCGCGTCGATCGCAATCATCTTACACAACGAACACACTTTAAACCGCAATGGCAATCTATTCTAGGCTGACAGCTTAAAGGGAACGACGAACTGATCGGAGGAACCGCCGCCGCAGCTGTCTCGATGATCTTTAATCTAGACCCGCCGGGGCACCCGCTAAGAACATTGTCCCTTGGCGCGGCCGTGCACAGGACTTGAAAGACTTTCGCCGACGGGACTAGCGCTGATTACGGACGTACTTCTGCCCCTCCCCCATGTCGTGCTACTGCTTTGGTTCAACATTGGGTACAGCCGCTAATAGCATGTAGTTACCACCTGCATTGCTAACGTGGACAGGAGGTGCTACCGCATATTTGGAAAGGACGGAGTGCTATTAGTGAGTATCACCAGGCGGACATATCCGTGGATGACAAGATTCCGGACGGCCATGGAAGAGCACGCGAGATTTTCGCTTGGACGGCCGAGAACATGGACGCTTCAAAGCCCGCTCGGCCTTCTGAATCATAGCGATGCTTATATCCAAAAGGTAACACCCGGGCGGCTTGGGTACCCGCAACTGTGACCGATAAGTCTATCTCTTACGGCTGCACGCCTAGTCAGCCGTCTTTCAACAAATACTCCACACAGAGGGTTGACTGGATCTCTGGCTACAACTGCATGGGTCCGACAGCACAGAACATCAGGAACGAAGTATTACTGATGTAGGGGAAAATTTTGGACCATGCCAAAGCGAGAAGTGATTGAAGCTTTGCTACCTGTAGTAGACTGTTGTGACAACACGGGACGCAAGGGGCTAGCTAAGCAGCCTCGTGGTAGTGGAATTGGTGTGGGTGGTTGGGAATGGGGCTGTGGTGAGAAGCGAACTCACCTGCGCACTTCAGAGCCAATCTGCGCTTTCATTACAGGTTTTTCATGCACCACCATCTTGAATCGATCAAATATTGATCTTGCAAGCAACATCATATCTACCTCACTGTCATCGTGCTAATGAGAATCGATCGACATTTGACAAACGAGGCAAGCTGGTGCCAATGCCCTGGAAAGGACGGCCACTAGTCTGCATTGGGCATGATCATGGATCCATCCACAATGACATTTCAGCCATTCATGATTCTATCCCCGCTTCATATGGATCCCAGCGGGTCGATTCCATGGATGATTCTCCAAGGCAGACGGGACGTACAGGCCAAGCGATCCGACTATATCCAGTACTCATCCACAGCCGTTTTAAAGGGCTTTGAGGTAGAACAGAGTCATTTGGTCCACTATAGCCAAGCTTTGTGGTTCGTACCACGTCTGTCTGACACTGTTAGTAGGCCACTACCCAAAACTACATACCCCATGAATTGTTATGAAAAGGCAAGAGGAGTACAGGAACCTAGTTGCTCGAACAGGTAAGCTAGAGCACACAAGAACACCCCGTCTGCCTTATTCTAAGGAGCATTCAACTTACTTGTGTGTATCCTATCTACTTGGTGCGTGTAAGTTGGCCATCTCTGTGGACAGTCAACAAGATCTCTCTTGTCGGAATCTCTACCTTCAGTATACCTACTGTCATACCTGCGTATAGTATGTGTACGGAAGATGGGGGGGGGTCCGACCATGATCAAGCAGTCGGATGGAGCACGCGTTACCAATTGCGGACCTGATTCAGTAAGCCGGATTGGCTCTACGTACCAACAATAATCCACGATCACCACCAGAACCCAGTGAACTAATGTGCCAGCCCCAATTGAGCCAGATGTCAGGAAGAAGACTGCGCCAATTGACAAAATTCGGGCTCTACAATCTTGCATCGGGGACCTACGCGGCCAAGATACAGGCGAGAAGCAGTCCAATGCGGGCTAAGGGAGTGGATCTGACCTGATTCAGCTACTTTGAGTAAAGTCGACATCACTAGTAGGTAGTTAGTGCTGGGGGCGGGGGAGGGGGAGGGCCGGAGGGGGTGGTGTCCCTTCTTTGCTTCTGCGGAGGTGCCGGAGCATGGCTGGCCGTGCGAACCCACCGCGCGCGCTAAGCGGGCCGGCACGGGGGTTCTTCACACGGGAGTCTGTGTCCTTTTCACTTTCCTCGCCAATCTCCCCAACCAAACCTGCCTGCGTGCCTGTGCCTTTGCATCTCGGTCTGCTAATAATCTATGGATCTCAAGTCACACTGCCCGAGGTCAAGGCATCAGATGTGGTCAATCAAGCATTCAGTGAATATTAATTATCAATTCTGTGTTACATTAAACACAAAAGGTCTTACAGTACGCCCCCTCACGGTGCGCGCCTGTATGTGTGTGTGTGTGTGTGTGTGTGTGTGTGTGTGTGTGTGTGTGTGTGTGTTTGTGTGTGTGGAGATAGATTGCTGCGAATGGGACTGGATAGCAACCTGCAGCAGGCAAGCCTACCCCCGCTCTGACCTTTTGGAATAGCTGAAAATTTCCAGGATCTGAATAATCTGGTTCTCTGAACCGACCACCCGCCAGCCAATCTTAGGGCTTTCCTCTCGATCGACAGTTCGTCTGGTTGATGCGAGCTTCCCATCACTCTGAAAACTCAGAGGTCGGCGTTGCTGGTCCGGCACCAGAGTTGATTGGGTCCATCTAGTTCATCCAGCCCCGTCCATCGTTTGTCCGTCCCCGACAAACAACCAGCAGATCACGTCTTCTCAGTTTCTCTACTTGCTCAGGCAGCCACCAACAGACAAAATGTCCTAGCAGGGATCATAGCTCTTTGGTCAAGCCTGCAGGAGCTAGTTATGAAAGTCGAGACTTTACCTGTCGGGTCGGCCGCGCACTCCGAGTGGTTGATGCTCCCTCCCAAACGAGCACCTGGATCTTGCCAACCTGAAGTGACTAGCAGGTGAATGGAAGAGGGCCAATGTGGGCTTCGATAATCCGACCCCTCAAGATCTTGTGTGGAGTAGACACCACTTCGCAGGCTGCAGCCCGTTATCGTGAGCTGGGAAGAAAAGGGGAATAGCAAAAAGCAACGAAAGGTTTCCGAGACACTGGGTGCTTCGGTAGAGTGAAGCCCGGATGCTCTTGCTCAGTTACAGTGTCTAACATGCGCGATCCACTTTCGCATCCTGTTGAGCTGGTTACAGTCTCATGACATGATCAAGCCTATCCAAAGCTAGCTCTAGTGCGGAAATTTCTTGCATCACAATTCTTTTCATCCTCCTGCTTCACATGCACGGCTCCAGCTAAGGTTTCCCCAGCGCCAATACGTAGTGCTAACGGAGACCAAACTCTGATCTGCGGAGGGGGTGGGAGATGCAATCACTATGCTCGCGGTAGCTGATTGACTATCAACCCATTCAATATCCGTCACATTATACACTAATTGTGATTTGGAATTCTCAGCCGTTCTGATGGTGCAGGGGCTTGAGGATAGACTGGTAACCGTCGGAATCGGACCCTCCTAGCCACACGCTATCCTGCAGAAGGAAGGATCAAGTTGTGGGAGCTCAATTTGCCACTACTGATAATCTAAGGGGGACTTTGATCCTGAAGCTGTGATAACAGTGGGACCGTTACGTCCATCCCAGTCAGCGGATTCTGTGCCTCGTCTCCTTCCTCGAAGAGCATATATAGGGAAAGTACGCCCCTGCACGAAAAGGACTTTACTTCCCGCTTAATTCAACTATACAACCATTTCAAGGATATCCTCCACCTAATTTATTATCTTCTCCTATGTGTTAAAGTTGCCGGTTTGCGTCGCTTTCTTCATTCTCTTGTGAGTTGTCGCTACTGCTCCTCAGGAGAAACCACAGCAGAGCCTGACCTCCCTCCCCGGCCTACAGTTTCCCCATCCAGGTATACCGAGCAGTCGCCTCAACTCACACCCAACCCAAGTCCAGTGATCTTGAATCCCCCAAAGCAGAGATCAGCAACTAAAGTGCACTCATCTCAGACAAGTCCAGTACATGCAACATCTGCTCATACGACACCAGCTCGAACAACACTATCTCAGACAACATCGACCAAGTCAATACAACCCCAGACTATACAATCACAACCAGTACCAGCCCCAAAAAATCTCAACGTAACAATGGCCCCCGCTGTTCTGTCTCCTGCTCCAACAACGCCCAATGTCGCCTTCCCACTCTCTCCTAGTATCTTTTCAAAGTCTCGACGGACCTCGGGTTTCCTTGACAGCGATAGCATTTCCAATCATGGAATGTCTCGCTCAGTCACTTCTCGACGGGTATCTTCTCGAAAGTTTCAGTCATTCGAAACCTCCAACATTACCAATGTTGTGCACTCTTTGAAGCGTCGCAGTGGCGATGAAATAGGAGCTACGGCGTCTTCAAAGCTCTTGAACGCGACTCATGCGTCACTGATTGATTGGATCAGGACTCAGCGCATGAGCTTGCTTCCTCCCGAGGGTAGTAGCTATGATAAAGTGCTGGCTTGGGCCCAACTCTTCGTGGACAGACTGCATTCCTTCGACTTGGCAATCGAAGAGTTCGCAGGCGACAGCTATCTCGCCGCCCAGCTCGCCTATGGTTACTGCGCTTTGCTCCTCGAGGTATGTCCTTCTCTTATATTTGTCCTGTGTTCATACTAACGCTCCCGTTCATGTGTAGCTTGGCAAAGGCAATGAAAATGCCTTGATGACTTCATTTGGATTCTTCTATAGCACCTCAACGGCACTGGTGAACCTTCTCGAGCGCATTGAGCTATTCAATGTCACTCAGGAGATTAGGGAGCAGCTCGTTCTGGCTTTGGCTGACCTTGTGACATTGGTCGCCAGCGTCGCGACTTACTTTCATCAGGCTATCCGTCAAATGACCGGCAATTCAGCCACGGTCAACATCTACATGAAATTCCCGGGACAGATCCAAGCCTTTCGTCAACGTTGCGAGAAGATTGCTGAGTCCATGTGGAGACATCAACTCCAGGAGAAAGGCCTTGATGGAGCGAGAGGTATAGGGCCCCTGTGCACTTTGTGCAACATAAGCTCACACCATCTAGTTTCTGACGTCAAGACCATCCGTTCGTGGCTCGCGCCGGAGGACACCGTTCTTGCCAATGTCGCCGAGACCACCTCTCACCTCGCTCATGACCGCGAGGAAATGACCTGTGTTTGGGTTGGTCCGCACCTCACGCGCTTCCTAAGAAACCGCAAGAAGAGAACCTTCGCCATCACCGGGAAGTCAGGCTCTGGCAAGACTGTTTTGTCCTCGGTCATTGTCGACCACCTGCAACACCCCATCGGTGGCGTTATGCACAAGACATTGTACATCCCCATCAGTAAGCAATTCATCCCAGAAACTGTGCTCGGTAGCTTCGACTAAATGCATGCAGATGGTCGCCTCCCTGCTGAGACAAGGCCCCGTGCAATTGTGAAGACTATTCTTTTCCAATTGTTTGAGAAACGAATCGGAAACATTCAGCTCTTCCAAATTCTATGGGATGCGCTTGAGCGCAGCAAGAAGGCTCCGAATGATAACGACTATGACAATATTCTCTGGAACGCATTGGAGCACGCGCTCGCTGCTGCCTTGAAGGGTGCCAAGGAGCTCGTCATTGTCATCGACGGTATTGACGAAGCTGCGTGTGATGAGGCTGTCCTCCTGCAGAAGCTGACAAACGCTACCGCCAAGGCCACAAACGTGAAGCTGATTACTCTGGGGGCCCAGCATCCCCCTAACCTTCCCGATCTGCACCACCATCACATCATCGATGATGGCATCTATGAGGATATCTGCGCCGTTGTGCGTGGCCAGTTCAAGAAGTCAAATGCCTACGATGGCCTTGATGAAATGGGGCAGTCCCTTCTGGTTAGCCAAATTACCAGTGCTTCAAAGGGCTCATTCCTCTGGGCCAAGCTTGCCAGTAAGCGCGTTCGCGATGTGGACAATGCGGATAACCTGCGCAAGGCCGTTGATGCGCTTGTGAACGCGAAGCCAAGCATTACCGACTTGGTCTTGCAGATCTTGAACGAGTTGCCGCAGTCGCAAACTCGGGAAGATGCTAAGCTGATGTTGCTGTGGCTTGCCACAGCCAATCGCCCCCTCTCGGTCAAGGAGCTCAAGGCTCTTGCTTCCATTCAGCCCGAGAAGCAGACCATTACCGAATATGCTGAGGAGCCTCGCCGAATCCTTCAGCCAGTAAACTCCCTGGTGTTCCTGCAAGAGGACCAGGTCCTACTGCGCCATAGCCTCATTCGCGCTGCTATCTTGGACATATTTTCCAAAGGCAAATTGGTACCGGCTATCAAAGATCGCCATGCTGATCTTGTCACCAGACTCTTGGTCTATATTAAGGCTACTGTTACCCAGCCGCATGAGCCTTCCCTTACACCCCTTGACTGGCATGACGTCAATCCTCTCATCAACAAGCACCCACTGCTTGAGTTTTCGATCCGTTATTGGATCACGCATTTCAGGCAAACGAATGTCTTTGTCAATAATGGTGAAGTTCCTGCTGCCAAGGAATTCGCAAAGCTGTTCCCGTCTTCCATCACGGTATTCCTCTTACAGAATACACTGTGGGAGAACCGACCAACTCCAGAATTGTTGGCATTCACGACTACCGTTACCAACGTCTGCCGCCAGGTCCTGACCAATAATCATGTGGTGACTTTACAGTTGATAATCACACTGGCATTTCTGTACCGCCAGCTCGATTATAACCCCGAAGCTATTCCTCTTTTCTATGAGGCAACTATGATTAGTCGCAATTTGCTCACCATTCGCCACCTGGTTACTATGAAAATGGCTGCCACCTTCCTTGAAATCACAACTGAAAGAGTCACTAGTACCAAGACAGAGATCATGACCAAGAGGGAGGAGATACTTCTAGTTCTGGTCGAGTGCTACAAGCACCACTACGACAGCACCCACGAGAATGTGATCAACACTTTGAAGCAGCTTGTCGAGCACTACAGGCTGATAAAGGAAGACAAGAAGGCCGAAGAGATTACCGTTACCATTCAGAAATTCAGTGGTGAGTACAGTCAAGGTCGTGACACCTATGGAAACCTGAATGTGCACCTGAAGGGTGGTAATGTGGTCACTGCTGGAGGTAGCACCACTCTCCTGCTAGACATTGAGGAGCATGATCAGTTGATTGAAGTTGAGGCTTGGAGCTTCGAAGCAGTGATTAAGCAGGCCGAGAGGTACGTTGCAGAGGGCAATATTGAGTTGGCCGAACGTACCTATGTCGAAATCTGGCAACGCCTGAGCCGGGAGTCCCGCGTTCAGTATTCCGCCCAGGTTGAAGAGCGTAAGATTCAATCGGTTCTTGCCTACACCCAGTTCCTGAAGACACAAAAGAGAGAATATGAGGCCTCGTCCATTCTCTCCAGTGTCTGGCAAGAGTACGAGCAGACAACTATGGCATTGTCGGAGACCTCAGTCTTCCACCTCCAGGAGATGGCCAAGGTGATGAAGACTGTTGGCCTAGCCACTCTTGCTCTGACTGTGTTCAAGCACTGCTCGCACTATTATCAAAGCACCAACCGTACCCAGTCTTCGACCTACCAGGAGATTCAGCAGAGCATTCATACAACCTCAAAGGAGGTTATGCAGTCTTTCAGCTCTTCTTCCACCACAGTAACCTCCGAGACCACCCTTGAGGAAATGGTTTATGAGGCATCCGCCTCAATCACGACCGTCGACCAGACTTCCTTCAGTGCGACACAGACCTTAGTCAGCTTGTATGTTGAGCAGCGGCGCTGGCAGGATGCTACTCGCGTCATCAAGAAGGTCTTGCACGGTGTCTGGTCTTCTCTGTTCGCTCCTTCCTTGCAAGATGTTACCCTTCCTGCCAAACATGTGGAACACTGCATTGAGCTGGCTGAGCGACTTAGCCACTGCTACCACTCTCGCCGTCGCTTGACCAAGGAAGAAGATATCCGTGTTCGCATCTACCGCGCTGTTCGCTCGGGTCGCAGTGTTGATGATAAACTGCGAGAGCGCATCACCAATGAGCTGCTCCGCCTGTTTGAGCGCACTTCGCAGACCGACAAGATCATCAACCTTCGTCAAGAGACGCTGAATGATTATACCAAGCACTACGGTCCTGAGAACCCGCTGGTGGTGAAGATTCTCTGGACCTTGGCTGAGCTGACTCGCCCCCGGCCTGTGTTCGTTGATTACTATCAGCAGATCATCCGTATCCTGAACAAAGACTCTCCTATTTCCCACCCCGAGGCCTTTGAGCCTCTTGTCATCGTTGCCACTGAACTATGGAAGCAAGGTCGCTATTCAGATGCTCTGCATCACTACCAGATCATCTTCACCACGTTCCTGAGTGAGCCCAAGCAGAACCCCAAGTTTCAGGACCAGACCTTTGTGCATGAGTTCTTTGAGCGCTACACCCACTGCCTGCGCAGCGTTCGTACCGAGTTCAGTGTACTTCACCAGGTAACAGTTGATTATCAGACCAAGTGCAAGGCTGTGTTCAGCGCTACAGCTTCGATTACTCTCAAAGCTACTTTGACGCTGGCCAAATTGTGCCAGGAGTCAAAGCGCTATGAACTTGAGGCTATTAGCTTGTATGAGGAGCTTCTGAAGACCAAGTCTGAGGAAATTGACCTTCAGGAGATTTCTTCAACTTTGGATGCGATTTACGAGGAACAGGCTGCCATTGTCACTTCGACCAAGACTGAGTCTTTCTCGTCTACTCAGGTTGAGCGTGCCGTCAAGGTTCTGAGGAAGCGGATTAGCACTGTTCGTGAGACCCACGGCTGGGCCCACGAAGAATCCCTGACCAAAATGGAAGAGATGATCAAGTTTCATGCTCAGCGCAATGAGACTCAAACTGTGGTACAGGAGCTCAAGGAGGCGACCGTGCAGATCTTGTCTTCCGAGACTTCGTCCACTCGCCTAATTGCGGCTGCCACGACCATCGCATCTAGCTACATCGCGACGAACCAGATCCAAAAAGCCACCGAGCTGACCCAGGAGATCTATCGCCAAATCGTGATGAAGGACACCAGTAACTCCAAGTCTGTCCAGTTTGATTTGTCCTCAAAAGAGCGCCAGAGCTTGACTTTCTTGGCTCAGCTGGAGTACAGCCTTCGCCGTAGCTCGTCGACCACTATCACTGAGATTCTTGCTGCCTTGACCACCGAGTATGTCTACTTCGAGGAATTCAGAAAGGAGATCAAGTCCAAGAGCAGCTTCCACAGTGTCTCCGTCTCAGCGGCTCGTCTCTACCAGTTCCTTATAGCCCATGAGCGCCATACTGCTGCGGCTCGTGTTTTCGATGATTTTGTCGCGTACTTCATCAACACCGAGGGCAAGCGGGCGCAACTGACTGAGATTTCCCAAGTCAAGATCTTCGTGCTCTCTATTTTGGACCACTTCAGCACCCATCAGTCTGAGAACTTCGTCCGGTCTGTGGGAATCACTAGCAATGACCATGTTGTTGAGCTGCTGAAGAACCAGCGGTGGGAGACTGCCAGTGACCTTGCTCTTGCTGCCTACAAGTATATCATCGCTGACGCTAGCTATCATACCCCTGAGATTGTCAAGTTCGTTTTCACTCTGGGTCTGAACATTGGTGGCCGTGATCTCGTGACCCGCCCTGACGAAGCTGCTCGGAAGAAGTTGCTTCAGGTCTCTGGAACAATTATCCAGGATGCCCTCCGCGTCATTACCAGCTTGAAGATCAACTTGGCTGGCGTCAGCCTTGTTCACCTGAACAAGCTGATTGGCCTTCTCGGGGAGCAGCAGGACTACCGTACCCTGGCCTGGCTCTTGACTATTCTGTGGAACAGTCGTGAGGCCCAGCGTAACTGGCCTACTTCCATTACTCTCGCCCTGGGACGCCGCTTCATCATGGCCCGCTACTTGATCGGTGACTACTCCGCTGCCCTCCGCCTGGCAGAGGACATTGTTTACAACTGCCGCCGTGTGCACGGACCTCGGCACCTGAGTACCCTCGAGATGTCCATACTGCTGTCCCAGCTGTACACTGGCAATGCCCAGCGCTACCAGGCCGAGAAGAATGGTCAAGAGATTGCCAACCGATTCTACAAGAAGAGCGCTGCCGTGCACGAAAACATTCTCCGTGTGTTTAGTGACCCTGATTATGCCGAACTGGAAGGAAACGATAGCAATGGAAGCTTTGACGGTTCAGCCTATGGGGAGGTAGACGGAATTGAGGAGCACAACGGGACTTTGGGTGGTGGCGAGCACGTCCGCCAGCACTTGCACCTTCTCAAGCTCTCCGTTGAGCGCCTTGGTGACTGGCCCAAGGACTACACCGAATACGAGAAATTGAACGCGGACGTCTTCAGAGTGTACAATGAGTACTTGGTCGGGGTCGAGGGCGTTGAAAAGTGGAATCTGAAAAACTTTGGCGGGGGCAAGGCTGAAAGCAACGAGGATGCGTTGGACTTGAAGTTCAAGTCCTGGGAGCTTGTTGATACCCAACATCATGCGGAGATTGAGGAGGAATTGTGATTTTGCGATTTGATTTTATTGCCTGATATATCCCTGTTTGAGTACTTGGACTGCTTCTGGATTGTTAATAATTATACCTGTTAATTGAACTGGTTGACTGCTTTTCAAATACTGGCTCCATTCCAGCATTGAATGCACAATGTAGGCTCCGGAAATTGACACTGAGTCTAGACGACGAGAAATAAAGTTCTGGAGACCCAGCGATCTGGCGCCGAGAGCCAGGATCGGGCGGGTTGCCGAATGCGACCGATCGCGGGAGGCCCCACCATGACTGTATCCCCAGCATCCAGATCCACATGATCTCATTCATTCTGGAAGGGAAAGGAGAGGTCGATGAAGATGAGATCATGGTCATGATGTCATGCGAGTTATATAATGGTATCTATTTCTTCCGTTGAAGAATTTTTCCCGTGCAATCTCTTCAATTCATTGTCATTGAATTCAACCTTACCCAGCTCCACTTGCTCTTCACTCATCCACTCTGCTGAGCACTACAATATAATCCCTACGTTCTGACTCCTCGACGAACGCCCCCATCAAAATGCCCTCCAAAAGCAACAACAACAACTACACCGACCCCGAACTCCGCCAGGAGGTCAAAGAGGAAGTGCAGCAAGGCGACAAGGGCGGGAAACCCGGCCAATGGTCTGCGCGGAAGGTACAGTACACCCGTACCCCCCCCTTTGCCCCCTTTGCTTCTCCCCCATTCCTCCCCCAAGCGCACTCCCCCCAAACCTAAACCCAAACCGAATCTGACAAAAAGTCACCGACAAGGCCCAACTCACGGCCCAAGAATACAAATCCCGGGGCGGGGACTACACGACCAGCAAGGACGAGCAGTCGCAATCCCAGCGGAACCTGTCGCAGTGGGGCGCGGAGGACTGGGTGACCAAGGAAGGGTCGGGGACGGCCAAGACCGACGAGAGCGCGGCGGACGGCGGGCCGCGCAAGCGGTATCTGCCCCGCGAGGCGTGGGAGGAGATGAGCGAGGGGGAGAAGGAGGCGACGGAGAGGAAGAAAGTGGAGGAGGGGGGGAAGGAGAAGAAGCAGTTTGTGGGAAATACGGAGGGGGCGAAGAGGAAGAGGGGGGAGGTTTCGAGGCGGACTGGAGATAAGGATAAGGATAAGGATGAGGATGAGGATGAGGATGAGGATGAGGAGGGGGAGGGGGATGGGGAGGGTGAGGGTGAGGAGAAGGAGGAGGGCGAGGAGAAAGGAAAGGGTAAGGGTAAGGTTATTGCTAAGGGTGCTGCTAAGGGGAAGAAGGATGTGAAGAAAGATACCAAGAAGGAAGATGGGGATAAGAAAGACCAGCAAGGGGATGAGGAGCAGAAGGACGGGGAGAATAAAGACGAGGAGTTAGATGAGGATGATGAGGAGTACCAAGAAGAAGAAGGGGAAGGAGAAGACGAAGACGAGGAAGAAGAAGAAGGAGTGGAGCAGCAGGTGGGCGATGATGAGGAAGCGGAAGGCGATGATGCCCCCGACAAAAAGAAGCAAAAGACGAAGTAAATCACCATGTCATAATATTAATGTGTAAGCTACTGAATTACTACCCTATCTTATCCTCAACTCTCCAGACTTCTCACTCTCATCGTTCCACGTCGCCCTCTCCGCGCCCCTCATAATGACTCTGCGGCAGATTGTTCAGCTCATCCTCTTGGCGATCCAATTTGTAGTTTGTCGCCCAGAATCCAATGCAGCCGACGAACGCCAAAATCGCAACCACCGTGTAGTTCCATACCAACAACGGGTCTTCCGACAGACTGACCAGCGCCTGTCCAATGGCCGACGAGAACGCGTTCATGAACAACGCGACGGCCTGCACGAGGGACCGCATGTTCCGCGGGGCCTTGGTGAACGCGTACTCGAGCGAGGTCACCGAAGCGAAGATCTCGGAGATACCACCCAAGACGTACGGCAACGCCTGCACCCAGACGGAGATCGGAGAGTGCGAGTTGTACTCGTCCAGACAGTAGTTGGCCTGCTTGCCGCACCTGCCCAGCTTGTAGATGTAGTGTTGCGTCACCGTGGCCGCGATCATCGACAGACCGGCCGCGAAGAAACCGGCCGTGATGCGCTTCAAGGGGGTGAACTTGATTCCAATGCGACGAAGACCCGGGTAGACAAGCTGGTCCATGATGGGGATGAAGATGATCAGAGCCAGAGGGTTCAGGTTGTTGATGATGTCATTGGGGACGCCGCCAAGTTGCATAGTCGCTGCCTGCGAAGTAAGGTTGTTCAACATTTGGTTGTACGCAAGCCCTGAATTAATCTCGATTAGACTAAAGTCACTGCCGTGGCGGAAGTGCACACTTACAGTAGAGTGGGTACCACAGGAACACCTTGCAGGCCTTCAACCCACGGGCTACCTCGTCCACCCATTCATCATCAAAGGTCATCCACTCCGGTCGGTTTGCACCAAGCGCACTGGGCTTAACAGAGTCCCAGAACGGCCTAGGATTCTTCTGGAAGCTGTGATGAAATTAGCATAATCCGATGAGTGTCCGCCGAATTGACGACTTACATCCGGGCTGGGTTGAGAGACCAGCGTCCTTTCATAGCCAGCTTCCATGTGCGAAAGGCCTGGAGGTAGACTGAGCCCGTCGGCTTGACCAGATAGTACTTGTTGCGGCAGAGGAACAGAACAGTCGGGCAGAATGTGAACATAATCGTGGGCAGGAGGTAGGACAGCCAGAAGCCCACATATCTCTCCGCGTACACCATGCTGACTTGACCCAAAATCGAACCGATGTTGATCATCATGTAGAAGTAGAGGTAAATGCGGGAGACGGTGGCCGATGGGTCGACGATGACGCGTTCGCCTGACGGAAGGGTTTTGATGAAGGGGGTGTCTTCTCGATATTGCTCTGCAATCAGGGGGGAGATGTTGGATCTGTGTCTGTTAGGCAGTGTTGCCGAATGCAGGGCAATGGCGCGACTTACTTGAAACCGCCAGTGCCGATACCCATAACGATCAACCCGATAGAGAAGCAAGCAATAGCTCCATCAGGATTCTTGACGACAGGAGGGATAGCGGAGATGACGAGGATGGTGTGTCCCACCAATGCAGCGCCGATGGAGAACATGATGGTACGGAACCGACCCCAGTATTGATCGGCCATGAACGCACCCGCCAGCGGCATGATATACGACCAGAAAGCGTTAACTACTAGGTCAGCTGTGTTGGCCCAATCAGAGAAGATACTTGGACTTACACAAAGTCAACCCTGTGGATGCCTGCTGGCCCATTCCCAGAGCACCTGGCACCAGGTTTCCGACTCCATGAGTCGCACCGGTGGTGGAGCCTTCAGGTAAGGGACGCTGAATGAAGTTGACAACTGTAAAGGTTAGCAACGTCGACAATGGGTTCATGAGCTAACTCACACACTGCAGTGGTGCCATAGTATGAAAACCGCTCGCACAGCTCCACAAAAGCCACGGTGTAGGCTGTCCAAGGAATTTTGCCAGCCACACGACGCAGGGTCTGCATCTCCTCTGGATTGGGGAACGCCTTCTGCAGCGAGGTATCCTCATCGTAGGCGGCCCCCGATGAGCCGACCGCGACTTTCTCTGAGGTTGCTTGAATCACGTCGACGTCGGAAGAAATGTCCGGGCGCACTTCGGATGCAGGATGCTTCTGCTTCTCATCATGAGCAGCAGCAGCAGCATCATGAGCGTAGGCCGCCGATTTGGCGACCTCTGCCGCCTCCACCGGATCAGAGCTATTCATGTTGGAGGGAGGCAGGATAAAATGAGGGATGGTTGAAGGGAGCTTGGAGAAGAGATGAAGGGGAGATCCAGAGAAGGGAGTCGGAGGAAAGATGGGCAGAGGAAGAGGTTTAAATTTAGGCTGACTGGACCGGGTGGCACAACCGCGGTAGGCAGGCAGGCAGGCACTGGTCTACACCTGGCAGTGAGCAGTGGCATTTTCTCATATCAGCATCCATGATTCTACCCATCACTGCTATTGCACCATTTCCAACAGCTATCAGCATCTGCAGGGTCCAAGAGTGCCAAGACCGGCGATGCTTCCCTTCTCGGGGCCACCGCAGGAGTCAATTCCACTGCTGGCCCTCGCTTGGAATCGGCAGAACCCGTCCAGCCCACGTTTCCCAGGCTGGCGATGGCTTGGATAAGAAGGACGCCAGATAAGCACGGCTGGCTGCGACTGGTCAGGATTGCTCAGGATTGCTCAGGACTGGTCAGGACTGGTCAGGACTGGGCTGTTCTGGTCGGTCGTCCAGCGGAACGGACGCCTTGGCACCCTTGGCGAGGGGCATTCGGTGCAACCCCAGGCCTTGGCTGGCGGGGGTCTCACCCAATCACTTGCTCTCGGAGGGTTTGACCTGAGCTAAGGTGGGTTACATTGAGCCACTCGATGCACGCGACCACAAAGTCTGGAGAGAACCGGGGGTGAAATCCATCCATCGAATCATCGAATTAGGCAGGTGTATTTGGAAATGGAATGTTCTTCGCATGAAACACCGTGAACGCTGTCAGTACGGTTTGCCACGCCAGGAATCCTGCTCGCATCTTTAATTTATTATCTTTCTAGATAGAGCGGTTGTACTCGGGACAAGCCTTTGCCCGCCAGTGGCGATTTTGGTGGTGGTGGTGCCAGCCTACCGAGAGAACTCGGGCTGGGCAGGTCGGATATCGACTATCAAAAAGCCTGAGAGAAAAGTCGTTGATGGCAGCATGGAACCCAGTGGTATTAAGCGAGGCGCTATTGTATGTACCGTTTGTGGAGTGCAGTGCGTAGCACCATACTACCTACTACTATACAAAAGTGGATGCTACCGCCCAATCTGAGTGGGGCAATTCCGGCGCGGCGGTTGATTATCACAGGTATCGATTCCGTAACAGGTACTTTATCAGTGGCCAACTCGACCATGTCTCAAATTCATCAATTCAAAGTTCTGGAGGATTGCCACGGTTATCGAGCTATGCTTTGCGCATGACATGCTATGTGTGTGGAGCGACCTTTCCGAATAGATCCAGACTTGGAGACGCAGTCCTCGACCCCGTCGGATGTCGCGTGGGCCGGTATAGAATCACAAGCATGGAACCTGAACCTACGGACACCCTCGCTATCTGTACAGTACCCCACAGTCGACTTCCCCGCGTTTTCTGTCAATTGTCCCATGGGAACTAACCCTGCTGGTACTACACGAGCAGTCTCAACACCAGGGTTCCTTCATATCTGTTACGTACAACACTCCTGTACAGACCGGAAAGCACATGTTACACAGCTTGCAATTGTTCAAGGCAACCTCAACTCGTCTCTGTATGCCCATTGACGCGGAGGGATCGAGAAAGACGAATTCAATCGGGGTGTGTCTTTTTGCTGGACTCTTTGCTATATTCATCAGGAGACTCCAAAGGCCTGCTTTCTCTCCTTCTCAAAGAGTTACTGTCCTTTTGCAATTGACCTATATCCAAGCCATTAAAGGAGTTCGCTCTCTGTGCTTTCTTAAACCTTGTCGCACGGCTAACCGCGGCCAGTTTTATGCACCATGGCTGACTCAGTTGCACAGCATAGTTCACCAATCCTCTCCCGGTCAGCGGGAAGCTTTTACTACAGTAGGTGTCCAGCGCGGGCCGCTGCTGGGTCGAATTCCATCTGCGCAGTGGAGGTGCCAAGTCGGTTGACAGCAACCGAGTGTTTGACGTCCATGTATAAATGGAGTGCCTAACTTACTTAGTACCTCATCATCAATTGACTATCTCTATCTAATCGAGAACATACTCGGTTTTGAGGTACAATGCATAACTATAGTGACTGCTTACGCCATCCCTGCTGCCTGCCAGACCGACCGGGTTGAACATGTCCAACAATGCTCTCCCATTACTAAATAAAGCCTCCCTTCGCTGCTCCCCCAACTCTTCCTCCATGTACTCCTCCGCTTCAATTGCGCAACCAAAATCCATCAACCATGCCCTCAGCCGCCTTCAACCCGGACACAGGCATCCCTAGTCTGTCTGGCAAAGTCATCCTGATCACAGGAGGTGAGCAACCCCCCTAATCTCATCTCATCCGCGTAAGCCAACACCCCGCCAGGAACAGCCGGACTGGGGGCCGAGACGGCGCGCCAACTTGCTAGCGGTGCTTACTACTTGGCTATCTACTCCTCCACTCATCCCCGATCCAGAACTATCGCACGAGAGACCCATTCCCATCTCCACTCCTTTGGCTCCTTTCGCAGCCTTGCCCGTTCAACGTCTTAATGCCAATCACCACCAGCCCACGCATAAGTCCTCTACTTATCACTTAGAATCTCGATACCACATAAGCGCAACCACGGAAGGCTTCTTCCGAACCTCAACAGCCAGACATGGCACGCACTACGAGATAACAACCCTTACCCCCTTGGTACTCTCCTTCGGCATCGGAAACCACAGATCATGATCATACGCCACATCCCCCGCCGTGGTCTCATACAACCTCATTCGCGGAAGCACACGGAGCGCCAGAACGGGCAGCGTGACATAGAGACTGCAATACGCTAGACTAAGAAGAATTGTCAGTCGGCTTCATCTGAAATCCAAAATCGGAAATCGCCAAACCCTGGCCCGATCTTATGTACTAAATGTCACTTGTACAAGACTTTCCACAAAGCGCAAAGGAAGGGAAGGGCACTTACTTCATCCCCAAACACTGCCGACTACCCTTCGAAAACGGGATCAAGCAGGTTTCCATCCGCCGGCGCTGCGTCTCATCCGCCTCCAGCCATCGCTCGGGACGGAAGGCGTGCGAATCCGGAAACACGGATTCGTTGTGGTGGTTGATCACGGAGGACATGCCCATTGGTGTACCGGGGGGGATAACGTAGGTGAGTTTGCGGCCCTTGAAGTCGCCACGGTAGGTGAGATGCTCGTCGGGGGGATGCGGGGCAGCCGTTGGCTGACGCCGTAGGAGAGGCGGAGGCCCTCCTGGATGACAGCGTGGAGATAAGGGAGCTTTTCGAGGTCAGACCAAGGGGAAGAGAGGGCGTCGGTGGTATGGAACTCGTCGGTGAGCTTGTCTAGGAGGGTGGGGTTGTGGAGGAGGTGGAAGGTTGTTACGGTTAGTGTCCACTGTTTTTCTCTTCAGTATGCGTTGAAGTACAAGGTGAAAGAGATACAGTGCAATATTAGGAAACCGCACTTCGAGCCTGGAAACTGGGTAATACTCACAGCAGTCGTCTCCGTCCCCGCCGCAATGAACGAATAACTCTCTCCACCTAGCCTGTGATCCGTCTTCTCCACCTCCGGCAAATCCGAAGCAACCAGAGTATGAAAGATCGCCGGTCGCTTCGGGACCGCCCCGGCTTGGTACTCCAGTCGAGCTTTGTGCACCCGCCCCGGCATCTTCTCGTTCCCTTCCTCCACCAAGCCCTTCACGCGGGGATCCAACCACTTGGCCACAGATGGCATGAGATCCACGATTGCTTTCAGCACCGGGTAGAACCGAAACACATGCATTGGGGTGAGCAACGAGTGCAATGCATGGCGGAAGTTCGGTTCCCAGGATTTCTGTCGTATAAACCCAAACGGCTCGCCGAAGCAGTAGCCGGAAATGATGTCGGAGGTGAAACAGCTGTACGCGGTGACGATATCGATTGGCTCTTCACTTTTGGTACCGATATTGATGAGCTTGTCACAGAGCTGGTCTGCGAGGTCTTTGATGTCAGACTCCAATTTGGCAATCTGCGCGCGCGAGAAGAACTTGTTCGCGGCGCTGCGGCGGAGGCGGTGCAGGTCGTGGTCGACAGCTGACACCATGGCTTCGGTGATGGGCCCGGCGAAGAGGTTCAAAAGATGGACTTGTTTGTTGCGTCTGCGTTTGCCGGTCGAGTAGATCTCGTCGGTGAAGGCGATATCGTTGACGTGGAGCTCTTCGGGGTTGATGCGGACGACGGGACCTGTTGCCGCGGTTTCAGCGACAGATTTCCTATGTCTGTCTGTGCCATCATGTGTGAACGAAGGATGGGGTTTTACCATAGATCTGGTGCATGCGTTGAATCTCTAGACTGTAGCGTCCGCCGAGTATCAGGTCAAACCAGGCTTCGTATAGAAACGTGATGGCTGCGAGCTTGGGGCCTGGGATGTGGTACAAGGGGTGCAAAGGCGAGATATTGTAGACTGTCCGGACAATGCGAGAGAGCAGCCAGAGACAGGCCAAGTACTGAAGGAGAATGATGTGCATGCTGACCGATCATGCGATACGAATGTTGCTGAGCTCTGTGAGTATCCCTTGTAAATTGTGATATGGTGGATCCATATTTATCAGATGGGGAGTTCCACTCGACGGTCTGAATTATATCTGAGGTGATCGACAGAATTTCAAACACAGCATCTATGATGCTTTGATAGAACATTAGATTCAGTCATTGATTTCATGACTCTTGTTTCACGCCACCTATAGTCTTCTTTGAACTGACTCAAGACTATGTTCTTTCGTCTAAGTTTGCTCGACTTAGTGTGCTCTATGATCCCCCCGGGTAACTTTCGGGGAGGATCAGCTTCCGGGAAGGGTGATATGTTTCAGCGATCGAGATTAGACAGGTTTTGATGATATGTCTCGATCCGATGTTCTATGATTCGTCGGATCTGATGTGAAGAAGCGGTGGTACGATAATATGCTTAGCTGAATGAAGTATCTAAGAGTGATCATGAAGGGGAAGGGAAGACGCGACGAGTCACGTGGCAGCCTGCCCAGGGGCCTGCCACAACATAGTAAGCAAACATAGCAAAACATTTGGTTTTTAACTCTCATAGGATAATTTGATTCTAAGTGTCCCACGCAATATTTGCTCTATGTTATGATGAATGTCTTGCCGTCGAGATTGTCTTACTTCTAAATCTGATCCACCTCAACACCCTCCCTCTCTAACAAGGCCATCTAACCAGAAGTGACTGATCTAATAATATAACTCAAGTGACTCTCCGACTATCGGTACATACCCAACTATGAAAGCGCCATCAGCGATTTGATCTTCGCGGCGTAGCGTTCTCGCTTCCCAACTGGCTCAACCTCTGGCTCCACAAACCGAACTCGATCTCTGGTGATCTTATTGAAGATCTCCTTGAAATAGAGGCGTGTATGCAGCCGCTCCGAGGCACTGCTTGTGCTACAGGGAGTCAGGAAGCACCACTGAACAGGAAGAAAAGGCCCCAGCGGGTCCGGAATCTCATAGACCGTGAGTTCCCCGGACGCGGGCTCGATGGTGGCGAGATAAGCCGGCCGGCCGGTCTGACACAGCACCTCGGCCTCGGTGCACCAGACCTGCTGCTGCGCAAGGAGATCGAGAGGCCTTTTTTCCTGGGTGAAGTAGCACCTGGACATCAGCATCGCGGTCATTACGGCAGTCACGCTACCATTCTCCTGCTTTTTGCTGATCCGAACACACTTGTATCTCTTCCTTGCCTTCTCGTCTGGCTGGTCTTTGCCAACGCCGTACTGGAAGAAGGAGTATACAAAGCCGTCGGAGGCGGGAAACAAGGCCCGGAGCCGCACGAACCAAGCCAGCAGGGCGAAGTGGTGGTTTTCAATGGGGGCGACAAGCGGTACATAGGGACCGGCCATCCCGGCCATTACGGCTTTCCGGCCCCGCGTATCCCACCATTTGGTTCTAGCCTGAACAGCCCTCTTCTTTTGCTTGGGGGTGTCGGTCAGAGATGAGGGGTAGTGCTTGCGCTGAATCTTGTTCCAAGCAGCGGACTGCTCGGCATGAAGGCGCCAGAACCGTCGCAACGGCCGCAGCTCCTGTACGAGGGCCTCGAGGTCGGTGGACGTGGACAATTTGTACGAAAGAGTCGTGCGATACTTGTCGTTGCTGTGATTAGCAGTGGAGTCTGCAGCCTCCCTCCCACGGAAGAAGAGCTGTAGCAGGCCGTCCTCGCTCAAGACGGCGCCACATCTGGTCTCAATCCCCAGCTTTTTGTACTCCCCTTCAGACAAAAACTGCACATCGGTCAGCCACTTTTGCATGTGTTCATTGCTTGGGGCGATGAGCATGATGCACTCCTCCTCGCCTGTGTTGGGCATCTTCCTATTTACCATCACCCCATAGAAAGGTTTAGGGTCGCGGGCCAAATAGCATGTCACTGTGAAGCCGTCCTTCTCAGGAAAGATAAAACCTTGGAAAAAGGCTTGGCAGGCGAGGACATGATCAGGGACCTCCAAGAGGCTTTCTAACCGTCTGAGCTTCTGTGCAGGATATTGTCTGGACCTAGTGCGATCGTTAATATGGTCCAGCACGGCCTGCTCACTCAGTCGGCGCACGTCACCGAGTCGGGGCTTGAAGTCCATCGATGCTACTAAGCAGTGAGTGGATTTATTTGAGTTGATTTTTGTCTTAAGGGTTATCGGAATTGAATCAGAAGGTTTAATATAGTCAATGGCAAGTGGAAGATTGATGCGAGGGAGGACCGGATGGCATACGGCCCCGCCTTATAAGGCATCGCATTGCATGGCCTTTGTTCATTCAAGCGTTCGATCCTTTATTCCCAGCAACAATCAAATTGTTCCCGGCCTTGCTCAAAGCAATTTCAGCCACTTGTCAATAATTGCTTTTGTCTTGTAGCCGGTCGCGACGCACAATGACAACGAGCGCATATCCAAGTCTTAGTCTCACAATGCAGCTTTTGTTTCAAGTGATGTAGGGTTACAAACAATTGAGGGCTTGTCCCCTTCTTTCCTTGTTGAAAGTCTTGCTATTGGTGAGCTTGGCCGCCAAGACTTTTGTTGCCCTACATTCCACTTTCAAGTTCTGCTTTTCTGGTGCTGGTACTTCCCTGTTGCCTTATGTAAGGTCCCTAGACAGTGTAAAGTCAAGCAGTGTCAGGCAGCTTGGATGCCAAGAAACTGGTAGCCCTACATTCCACTTTCGAGTTCTGTTTTTCTGGCGCTGGTACGTTCCTGCTGCCTTATGTAAAGTCCCTAGCAATGTAAGTGCAGCTTGGGAAGTAAGTAGTACTGGGGAGCCTAGTTGCCAAGAATTGAGTAGCCCTACATTCCACTTTCGCCTTCTGGTTTTCGGGGGCCTCTGTTACCCTATGTAAATGCCCGGGAAAGTGTATGTCCAGCTTCAAGCTCAAGCAGTATTGAGTACTTAGCCGCTACAGAGTCGGTAGCCCTATATTTTACTTTCATATCCTGGTTTTCTGATGCTGATACTTCCCTGTTGCCCCATGCAGACCCCCCAGACAATGTTAGTGAAGCCTGTGATTCAAGCAGTGATAAGCATCTTTCAACTCCGATCTAATTGAAGCTCGATTACCAAAGGAGCCCGCCTATTATAGCTAGCTATGGAAGTGTTTCCTCAAAGCTGAGAACCTTCTGGTACACCATCAACACCCCGAATGCCCTCAGTCATCAAGAGTTGATGCGTATCCCATGGAATGACAGCTCCGCAGCCAGCAGTTTTAAGAGCTTGAGCGCCAAAGACCTCAGTAGCCCTACATTCCACTTTCAAGTTCTGTTTTCCCGGTGCTGGTACTTTCCTGTTGCCCTATGTCAACTCCCTAAGGTAGGCAATTGCGAGTGCGGCTTGGGATTTAAAGCGGCTAGAGTAACGAACAAGAGCCGCAGCTCGTTCCGTTCCTTCCTCTTCGATACCCATGCTGCCTGGTAGCTTGACTGCCAAGAAATCGGTAGCCCTACATTCCAGTTTTACATTTTGTTTTTCCGGTGCTGGTATATCTCTGTTGCCCTATGTAAAGTCTGTTGACAGGGTGGTGCAAGAGGCGCGTATGCGCTTTCGTCGCATAGGATGCAGTCCTGTATCAACTCTTTAACATTAAGCGATCTAAAATTTAATGAAAAGATAAATTCAGTGAGCTTTTTAGCGTAAAGTCGACAGGGAGTAGACAGGGATTGTTCCACAAGGGCCTGCGCAGAACTTTGAAGGGTTGGGCGTTCGATGCAGCGCGGATGGCATCTGAACACGACTCCGAAACCGAGTGCCCACAACCCACACAAACTAAGCTGGATGCACTGCATGCGTATGATTGATATTCCCTGTCTCGTTCTTATGCAGTATTGAAGTGTGGAATCGAAAGGTAAAGTCCGGAGAGCGCGCGCACGTGAGTCCAAATACAATTATCTCACAGTAGGTAACATACAAGGAAATCAAATGGACCAACAGTCGATACACGACAGACAGCCTGTCCAATCAGCAGCAGAATAGCATTAAAGTAAGGGAAATAGGGAGCGCTGAGCCAAAAGAGCTGTAGTTTCTCAAGGAGAAAGCTTGAAACCACCCCAGTTCAGGCGACTGAACACGCCCTGGGGATCAACCGCCGCCTGGATTTCTTTCATCCGCTTGGTGTTCTCCTTGGGGAAGGTTGCAAAAGCATCCTGCCATTCGCCAGCATCGCCCATATAAACATGCTCGCGTGCCAGAGACTGGCGGTTCTGCTCATGCAGACTCTCAGACAGATCACGGGACCAGGACGTCATGCGGATATCGTCCTGGGCTAGATCCCATCCGGTGCTGAATTGCCACCCTGAGAAACCGAAGATTAGCCGGTTGTCTCCGTTGCCAATTGATGCGGGCGGGGTAATAAGGACTCACAGACTGTAGGCTCGAGGGCCAGATCCCACGTGTTTCCGACGTCGGTGTTTCGTCCGGCGCGGACAGCACCCGTGGGGCACAGATTAATCACAAATGTCGGGTAGATGCCTTGGACGTCGGACAGGGTCTCTACACTCGCCTTCCAGGCCTGGTAGATCTCATACAGTCGATTGGCATTAGGGACAATCGAGTGCGCGGAAAAGGCAATTCTGCAGACTCGATGATCAGTACTGGTACTATGGTCCGGCTAACCTCGGCGATGCATGTAATCATACCTGAACATCTGGTTGGGGGTATCCTTGTCCTCCGTCCACTCAAGCATTGTGGTGACATTGTGTACCTTAGTCGGGCCTTCAATGGCGGTGAAGTTGGCAAATTGTGAAGGAGGGTTGCTGATACCCTCTTGAACACCCATCAGCGAGGCTGAAACCGCCTTGGTGGTCACATTGTGCTGAATGGTGAGGATACCGCCGGCAGCAATGGGATCGCGGTCGTCCAAGCGGGACAAGGCCACGGCAGCCTTGATGAAGTCGTAGACTTCCGATTCCTCAAATGTCTGAATGGTGGTGCTAACATTGGGCATGTGGTATGTCTTGAGGGTGAACTTAGTGACGAGGCCGAAGTTGTTGGCACCGCCCTTGAGGGCCCAGAAGAGATCGCGGTTTGTGGAATTATCCGCAATCACCTGCGTGCCATTTCCCAAAACCACGTCGTAGCGCACGACATTGTCCATAGCAAAACCATACTTGTTGATGAAGTAGTGCACCCCGCCGATCAAAGTCAGACCAGGCACGCCGATGGTCTTGAGACGACCTCCGATAACAGCACGGTGATAGGGGTCCAGAGCACTGACAACATCAATCCATTTCATACCAGGGCCCACTTCGATGGTATCATTATGGACCTTGTAGTTCTGGAGTTTGTTCAAAGTGATCAAAACACCGCCGTCGATGTTGTTGGATCCCGGGAACTGGAATGGCATGTGAAGATTAGCCTACTGCCTTAGGCCAGCAGTCATGCACGGGACTTACGTTCATGTGACCTCCACCGCGAATGGCAAAGGGGGCATTGCACGTAGAAATGATCTTGACTCCCTCCGCCACTTCATCCGCATTACTCGGCTGGAAGATGCAAGCAGGGTACAAATCGGAGCGGATGTCCCAGAATCGGATTCTTTCCTCCGTATAATTCGCAGAGGAAGGCGACAACACCTCAGGTGAGTGGATTTGATTCAGCCTCTGACAAGCACAGGCAACCTCGCTGGTGAGGTGAAAATTGCCCTGCCACAGAGAGGTCGACGCGTTCGACGAGCTGCTGCTGTTGGCTAAAGCCGCCCCAGTGAGGGCCAAGGCCAGTAAATGTCGAACCATTGCGGTAGAAAGAAGGGCTCGAGGTAGGTGGTGGGAAAAGATTTGCTGGCTTGTTTGTTTCTATCAAGAGCTAACCAGGATGCAACAGTCCCTTTTATAACTTTCTCGGCAGTGTATATACAAACTAGGCACCTCTCAATTTGCCAATTGTGTCTCTCAAAAGATGTGTCGGTCTGTTCTCATATATGGTGCCTTCGGGTTCGGATTCGAGTTGCAGTTCGAAGCCCTACCAACCACGGGTGGCAGCCCCACAGCGTCTCAGGATGATGGAAGAGAAGCGGATGATCTGCGGTTAGAAGAAGATAAACTCTTCTAGGAGGTGTCTGTCGAATCGCCACGCAGTCAGGATCTCTGGAGCCACTACCTTGTACCGCAACCTGCCAACATAATGGATTCGAACCACACACTACTATGTCACCTCAATAAGGATGGTCTGCTCAAAACATTTTGAAAATGACCTCCAAAAAGTCGGCCTTCACTCAGAGCCCGCTTTCTATGTACATACTTGTGACTAGCTAGTTCAGTCTGGGCCCATTGAAGCCCAGGAACCACAATTTAAGCATAAGCTTTCAGTTTCAGGCTACAAAGTTCGAGACCTCCAGTGGGCATTAACTATTCAGTAGGAATCGTTGCTTCAATCCTGCCAGCATACGATGTTCATTACGGAGTTCCCTACTGAGCCTCGTCAGACAGACACGAACCCGAATACGAACCCGAACCCGAGGCAGACAGTAAACAGAACCCGCCAAGAACGATCGACCGTTGATACTCAAAATTCGGTTGCCTGAGATTCACCGGTGGACAAAGACAGAACCTCCTTCTTTTCTGATATGACGTCATGGAAATCATTCCTGTGCCATTTGAGGGTCGGATATATATAGATTCCCTTCTTCGCTTGCAGCTATACTACTCGAAACAGTACACAGACTGATACAGGGGTGTATTCAATCGAGTCAACGGACCGGTCGTCTTCACTTTGCTTCTGTCCCCGCCAGCGTTCATCGAGAATCTTCAACAAGGGACCAAGGTTTGCAATGCACTCCCCGCTCCTTAAGACACATAACCGAAGCCGAACAAAATCATGATGGAGAGGTCTGCTGCTGTGAGATCCCGCAACAAATAACGGGGAAAGCATGAGCTTGGTCACCGGTGCATGGGCCGGGACAGAAGCACTCGCGTCAAGCACCTGAGCTACAGCGGAAATGCACAATGGTCGAATTGGAGGCCTTGCGCCGGCACTTGACCACTATGCACCAGAGCTTCGTTATAGATATCCAGATGAGAGGGAAGCTCCTCGTGACTTTTCTTCTTGTAGTGCTTTAGTCGTCGAATCAGGACTTGCATCCTCGTTTCCACATCCTCGGATTCCGAGTGCAAACCGCCCGGTCTATCTTTCGTAGTGCTGTGGTGCAGTACCTGTCCTAGCCGATAGAGAAGGTCGGCCATACAATGTGATATGCTAAGGAAGGTGTTAAAATTATGAAATAAAAGCGCATCATTACTGCTGCTACCGCCATGCTCTTGTCTGGCAGCAATGGTGTAGAAGTCTGGTGGTGTTGGTGTAATCCGTCTCATCCAGTAAAGCCACATTATGCGTATACCCCAGCCAGCGGACCAGAAATAGAATGGGTTCGCTGAAGGCGAGTCGGTGGTGAAACCATCTCGCGCGAGCCTTACGGCATGCTCGAGACAGCAGCGCAGGCTGTGCGTGTTGCCTGCCGCGATATAAGTCGATTTCAGCGTTATCAGCGAGGAGAGCGTGCTCAGCCAACGCTGCGGATGCGAGTCGGGCTCTTCATGGCTGGAAGATGGGGTGTTCTCTTCTGAAAAGATAGTGTCATCTATGTAAGCGACCGCCTGCTGCTCCATTGTGAGGGCAGTGGTTGTCAAATCCGTGACATCTATGGACGATGACGGTGGTTTCTGAAACGTCCAGTTGACTCGGACGGAATACGCTAGGAATACAACGGCAGAGAAGAGACCTGGCTTGCCCGTAGCCGTGAAGCAGATGTGCTTGGTGAATTCGTTGTCCGGGGTTTGGTTGTCGATGGTGATGCTCGGTGCGATGATATCAACGAATTCTTGCCACAGGTACGACGTCGCTGCTACCTGTGATAATGAGCCGATTAGTGAGTCTTTTGATTGTGAGTCTCCTGTGAAAGTATGTGAAAGCGACGAATGGCACAGGACCAAATCATCGAGATAATCAAATATGCGCGTTCAGGACTAGGTCATGGAGTCGCGAAAACGAAGGACCAGTCTCCAGGCCCAGAGAATATCGGAATCCGCCTCGACCGGTGCTGGAGCTGCAGGATGCTCAACAGCTTGGTCTTCGACAATGAACTCTAATGCCTCAGTCAATATAGACGGCCCGATACTGCTGCGGAGGCCCTTCTTGGATGAGAGTTGACAACCTGGATTTCTCGGATGCGCTGACTCGCTGAATCTATGCCTTCGACGCGCCATCAAGCGGTAGCAGACGAGATGCAGGGGAGGTCGTGATATTTACAGCGAGAGTAGCGAGATCGGGTACGGTCACACTAGCATTAACGTCTTTTTGTTATGTCAACTGCGCGCAATGATGAGGGAGTATTAGTTCAGCACACCTTGCGCTTTGAATTCTTGCAATTCATGCATGGCGCTCTGATCCTGATTGCGATGTTTCGTGGCAGTGGGATCGCCGACATGTTGTCACATCGGTGATTATTCTGCAGATGCTGTGAAAGGATGGGAAGTGCCAATGCAGGTTGATTCAATTGCCTCAGAAACTAGGCGATCCCCTGTTCAACTTAGCTACGCGGCGGCAATGAGTCAGCGGCAATGCATCCCGAAGCGGAAAAACTGGCGCAGATAAGGATGAACTAAAGTATCGATAGTACTCTACACACTATTCGCATTCATGTTAAAGTCCCTGACTGAGAGCCAGAAGGAGGTGCATCTCGAGAACAATTTTAGCCTCCCTTCACCCTACAGCGGGATCGCCACATTCGCGCACCTAGACCTGACCAACTGTTTTGTCCCCAGTAGCGACGGGACTTTTGACATCCACGATCGGTATTGTTGGTGCTTCTGTCGACCTCGGAATTACCAGTCTACCTGTCGACCTGGCGAGAGATTTGGCCCGTCTGGTGCCAGAGCTAGCTCACAGCGACTGGGACCCGGCTTTGCATATAGGCATACCTGCCCATGATTTTTTTTCAAACCAGCTGTGATAATGACATGCACCAGCATGGGCCATGTGGTCCACCATTTTCAGGATTGGGCGTCTTTTGTCGATTGCGACGATATCTCCAACACCCCTTTTGATATTCTTCAGGCTATGACGGGGTGAGCCAAAGATAGGCTCCAGAAAGTCACGGAAATCGAGAAGAGGGATCATGTTCGACTACTCTCACTTGGTGGCGACTAAGTCATACAATCAGTAAGGCTTTACATATTCGGATAAAAGTGGAGCTTGTCTGTCTTCTCGAACATCCACTAATTTGACCTGCAGCACTTCCAGCACTACGAGCCTTGCACAATACCTGGGACAAGGTGGCATTCCTACAATTCTATTCGCACCTCGACCATGGGACCCCAAGCAACTGGGGTGGCTACACGAAGTACTCTGGGGTGACGCATGGAAGCATGCTACATCTACCACACGAAAAAGGGCTTGTCGTGGACCACAGCATCATGCACTTGAGCTCGCGCTCCATGTTGTTCGAAAAGCATTATAATATAGAAAACAAAGCCCGCTGTGGATCCACGGCGATTCGCGCTCGGCAAATTGATGAAGTTTGGCATTGAGTTCATTATTCAGAGGGGGTAGATACTGTGCAGGACCGTCCCGTTTACATAAGCATTGACACAGGTGTTCTGGATCCAGGTATAATCCCAGCGTAGTATGCTCTTATTTGAATATTGTCTCGCTGACTTACTTGTAAAGCCTTTGCGCCCGCGACAGGAACCATTGAGCCCGGAGGCTGGACCATCCACGAGCTTTTGCAGATACTCAATGGGCTTTCACATGCTGATATTAATATTATCGGAGCCGACATTGTTGAGTTTGCCCCTGCTTATGATAACCGAGCCTAGACTACCGGTTTGGCTGTCGCGCAGATTGCGTACGAGCTTTTGCAATGGATGATTTGTGTACCAGTCAAACCAGCAGGGCCTCTAATTCTAGAGTGTTTATATGCTTGACAAGTGTGTATCATATGTTGGAGAGTTCGTTGAGAAACTCCCAACCCCCAAGGTCATGATTATGTGGCGTTCTGAAAGTGGGAGATCGGAATTGATACCTGTCCACTCTTTAGAAAAACGGGGCCTGGTGCCAGCTCTAGCGGAGGAAGAATAGAGCTTGTTACCTTGAGACACACAAGTTTCAGTCGACAGGTACATGTCCAGAAGCCAAGACAACGTTGGAAGTAGAGTAAGTCTGGCAGAAGCTTCATGTCGGCCGCCCAATGCTTAGTGATAAGCTTAAAATATCCACCATGGAGCGTATCTTAACAAATGACTTGTTTTTCGCCCCTGACCGTGCCCTGTTTTATGACGCCTGGAAAAAATCAAGGTTTAGCCAACCACTATTGGGCTTTTCTGGCCGCAGGGCTGTTATGACAGGTCAGGTCGTGACTGATTCGCAGTTCCAGGCCTAAGCCAGATTTACGCACATACAACTCATGGCGGGCATAGAAGCCGAGAAGAACTTACAGCCCTTCTTACCGGTGTTGGTATACAGTCAGCTAAAATCAGGGAACATATCCAGACACAATCTTGGTCTAGAAGAGCATTTCACATATCTATGAATCAGCGTCAACATGCAGCAATGGCCGCGGTTACCCAATTCTTCCGATATCATTGTTCACATGCCCTTCAGTCGACGTCCTGAACCAGCTCTGTTATTTTTCCTTCGACTACAACTTCAACAAGTCTGCTCGCACATATCTTTTGGGGCTTCCTTCCTTGGACAACGATGCATCGAGACATTGAACGTTGTGACGTCGACCGTGAATCCGATACCTCTGAAGATGTTGCCACAGGAGCCATCAGCCTGACGTATCCCGAAGGCGGCTGTAATGCATGGAGCTGTCTGGTGGGTTCTGTCTTCATTATGTTCCCATCCTTCGGCTTTCAAACTGCTGGTATGCTACTCCTATCTTGAGCTTTAGCGTCACGGATCGATTCTCACCGGACCCCAGTCGGCACGGTGCAAGACTATATTACCACCCACCAGTTATCCGGCTACAGCGTGGAGGACATCGGCTGGATCAGCGCGCTCCTCGTCTTCCTGACGCTCTTCTTAGGCGTTCAAGTCGGCCCTGTTTTCGACCGCTATGGCCCTCGCCTTCTCCTCGCCGTGGGCTCTCTTGGCAGCGTCGCTTCCTACCTCCTCGTTGCCCAATGTGCGAAATACTGGCATTTTATGCTCGCCCTGAGCGTTCTGGGCGGCATGTCCTCGGCCATTCTCACCACTGTCGCCATCAGCGTGCTGAGTCACTGGTTTGAACGTCGCCGTGCCCTGGTCGCGGGAATCTGTATGGGCGGCTCGTCCGCCGGTGGTGCGGTCCTCCCGATCGTGCTCCGCAGTACTCTCCAGAAATATGGCTGGGCATGGTCTCTGCGGATTGTCGCTTTCATTGCCCTCGGCTGTTATACTTTGGCAATCTTCCTTGTCAAAGGCAGGCAGCTGCCCGACACTGGCACCCCCACTCGCGTCACTATCAACTTTCGCGCGTTCCGGTCCCCGCGTCTCTGTTTCCTGGCCCTTGCAGTGTTCAGTTTTGAGTTCATTATCTTCGGATGCGCAGCGTTGCTTCCAACCTATGCACGCTATGCAGGTTTCTCGTCCCAAGAGCAATTTTACACACTAACAGTCCTGAACAGCATGAGTTTACTGGGTCGGGTGCTCCCGGGATTAGCAGCGGACTTTCTGGGAAGATTTAATATTTTGTTAGCGATGATGATCCTCACGCTGGTGGTCATGACGGCCGTGTGGGTGCCGTTCGGATCGCGGAGCGAAGCGACGTTGTATGCGGTCGTCGCCGTGTTCGGGTTCGGGTCGGGCGGCTGGATCTCGCTGGCTCCGGTGTGTGCAGGCCAGTTGTGTCGGACGGAGGAGTACGGTCGATTTTATGGAACGGTGTACAGCGTTGCAGCATTTGGGACATTGTTGACTGTTCCAGTAGGCGGCCAGCTACTGGAGGCAACATCGCCGCAAACATTAGTTGGATTTTATGCGGCAGTGTTGGTCTTCGGGCTGATCAATGTGATATGCTTGAGATGGGCACTACTAGAGTGGCGGTGGAAATGGACTGCCAAGGTTTGAATTGTGTGACTGTGCAGGATCAGGGTGCCTATTCGCTTCCACCTGGCTGAACCATTCATTCAACAAAAGGTGCAAAGGCTGACCTCCAGCAAGCAATGTCTTAGATCTTAATACTCAGAGGAATTAACTTTGCCAATCTACTCTTCTCCTTTATTCTCCCCTTTCTCATTCCTCAACCGATTCCTCTTCGCATTCCCCTCCAACCCATACAGCACATCCTCCGACATCCCCGGAATCACCATATCGAACGTATTCTCGATGACCGTATACTGATAATACCCGCAGCGGGCAATCGGCCTCGTCTTCCTGACATCCAGGATCCCGTCTGTGAGCACCTCATCCTTGATATGCACCGCCACCACCCGTCCAATCACCACATCCACCGTCCCCATCGGCGGGTTCCCCGGCAACCGGATGGTAGAGTGGTACCTGCACTCGAACTTCACGGGACTCTCCCGGACCATGGGCACGTTGACCAGCGAGGCGGGCTCCTTGGTGACCCCGGCTTTCTCGAACTCATCCACCCCGTACGGGAACTGCTCGGCGGAGATGTTGACGGCCTCGCGGAGGTCGTAGGTGGCCAGGTTCCACACGAACGAGCCCGTGGCCTCGGCGTTGACGACCGTGTCCTTGCGGGTTTCGACGGCTGTCTGGTTGGACGAGAACATCACGTACGGCGGGTCGAAGGTGAGGTTGTTGAATTGCGAGTACGGCGCCAGGTTGCTGGTTTGCCCGTCCGGGGATTGCGTGGAGATCCAGCCGATCGGGCGGGGGATTACACATGCCTGTGCTGTTGTTGGTGGTCTGGTCTATGATGGGGGTGGTGGGTTGGGGTGAGGTGGGCATGTACTGTACCTTGAAGGGATCATGCGGGAGGTTATGCTCGGTCACGCCGGGTTCGTAGTACATTTTCGGTGCAATGCGTTCTGTATTTGCGCAATGGTGCTAAGGGAGGGTTCTAGAGCCGGGCAGGAGTAGCGGGAGCGATGCGACAGGCGGCGTTCTTTTTTATTTATGTACGCACAGTACGTAACCAGACCTGCATCTTGGTGATGTGATCGACCCTTCTCGTGCCGATAACCGCTGGAGGTGGGGATGTAACGACCAAGCGCGGGCGGGCCGTGATCCGAGCTCGCCGAGGTTCCGATATGAGGGGTCAGTTTGGCCGCCTGTCTGGGTACAGATTGTGGATGCTTAATGGATCGCGGGTGGTAAAATTGACTAATAACTGCCGATGATAGTGAGGTGCTGATTGATATAATCTGGCTTCAAGTGCGTGGACTATGTAAATGCCATGGAATAATGTCGAAAGTATCGACCATGACCGGTCGGGTTCCGCATATATATCAGGATCATTGTCATCAAGTCAGGCCAGAAACTGTGCTGCGACCGGGGGAAAGGGGGATTTAAAAATGAATTTAGTGTGTGATTCTTTTGGGGCAAAGCTCTGCATACGATAGAGGCTCACTTTGGAAAAGTCAAGGCCAAGAAAAAGAAGAAAAAACGATGGCCATTATGAGCAATCTACAGCCGGGCACTGCAGATGGTTGGCAATATCCACTGTGCCTGGTTTCGAGGGGAATGGAACTTTTGCTCAAAGCTATATTTTGAAAATGACGCCGGGTTAACATCAACTAGCATCATTGGTCTAGTGGTAGAATTCATCGTTGCCATCGATGAGGCCCGTGTTCGATTCACGGATGATGCATCTAAATTTTCCTTTTGCCTTTACTTTTTCCTACTACACTACCTATTCCACCGGAACGCATCCTTGGACAATATTTTGGCTTTCGCCCTTTTTGCCCCTTGTAACCGCGGTGTATCCATGCCGTTGCTGCCGATGGTCTTCATCACTGCCAGCGTCCCACCATCTGCTTTCAGATATCCGCCTACAACAACACCATCCATCTATTAATGGTCGTCTAGGAGCGGCACCACAACAGCTATGCTTTACCTGGAAAGGTTCATAATCTGACGGCAAATGTCAGGTAATGACCTGCTGACTGACAGCCAGACTGCCCTTCCCAAGAGACCGACTGTGGCGCCGACTGCTTTCGTACTGAATCTCCTTCTACTAGCGCTTCTGGCTCTATTGTTTCTCCGAGCATCTGCCTGAACACGTGGTGCAGGGAGATAGCCGATTATCAGATTGATTGCCTTGGTTGTAACACGTGCTCTTAACACGTGCTCTTCTCACTCGGCTCTCATGCACATCTCACGAACCATTCTGAATGCCATCGGCACGTGATGTCTCATCTATACACCTCAGTATGACTGAGCTTATTATGCGGGAATATCACTGTGAGTGAATCACCTACCTCTTCTCATTATCAATTCAATGAATATTTGCTCAGAATTCATCCATATCATTCATCTCTATCACATCTTGAATGATTTCTCAGCCCTTCACTCACCCTTGGTTTTATTAACATTTGGTCCTAGATGCGGACTTTTTAGTTCATACTCTCCTCTTAAGCGAGCTTCCCGTTCTATATCCTATCCTCCTTCCACACCTCTTCTTCCAAACTCTCTTCTTTCTATCCTTCCCCAGCCCACAGCTCCCACACCCTTATGGCTTCCACATTATTTCTTTGTTGTGTTGGTGTCACAACCGCTGAGCACCTTATGTGGCCTCACATTTCCCCTTGCAAAGCTTTACTGTTGTGATCGTTCCACACATCCAACGGAGACGAACCGGGTCTAGTTGACCTCCAACATCAAGTAATCCGAGTTCCACCTGACAATGTCACTTCTCATTTCCATAAGCTGAGAGACACGATATTCTTCATTTCAGTTCTGCTTTGCCCGACACCCGATCCTGCCCACAGAAGATATCCAGAGGCATTGTGGCTTGAATTTATCCACGTCGCACTCGACGCGAAAGACTTTTGCGAAGACCTCGAGGTGTCAAACAAAGACAAAATTACCCAAAGACAAGTGGTAATCGGTTACCAAACCTTTCCTATCCACAAGAGCAGCGAGAAAGTGTCCCCAGGAAGCACTTGAATGAGTAATGCGTCCACAATTCTGGTCATATGTGAATTGTCTATTGCATTACAACAAGACAGATACCCCCAAGATTTTGATCACCAGGGTATCCTACGACAAACAAGAATCCCGGCTGAAGAAACTTCCATTTTCGATGCTTACAATCGGTTCTTGATTTCCTTCGCTGGCAGAGGCGGCTAAGAAAAGGCCACGACACTGGTACAACTGGCCGATGACTGAAGAACTCTGGGATGTATTCGAAGGCGAGTTCTAGCCGTCATCGAGCATCTACTCAAAATCCACCGTCTACGCAAGAATGCAGGCGCGGTGAAATGTCCTCAAGCACAAAGAAGATAGTTCCAGGACTGCATTAAGACCAAGCGTGCAGGACAACAAGAAAGAAGAAAGCTGGAGCTCGTGACAGCTTCAGCTTCCGTGCCGGACAGGACTGATAGTTTCCAAGTCAACTCTGCATCAGAGCAATGATTGAAGGATTCTCAAATTCAATATCAGGCAAAATCTGGGTATTAGCAGACATCTGCTCAGGATTCGGCGTCTACGCAAGTATGTAGACGCGGTGAAACGTCCGCCAGTAAACGGACGATAGTCTCAAAACTTCATTGAGATAAGACAAAGCGTGCATGACCAGAAGATGGAAGGGAAGCTTGTGGTTGTGGCTCCTTCAGCCTCCGTGCCGGACAGGAATGATAGTCGCCAAGATAACTATGAATCAGTGCGGTGATTGAATAATTCTGAAATTCATTCTCAGGCGAGTTCTGGGCGTCAGCAGACATCTGCCCAAGCTGCAGCGTCTATGCAATCATATCACAAGATCACCCGAACAACACGTTGACTTGCGGCCAGGCTTTACAAGCTCCAAGGTCACAAACAGCCTGGTAAGAAAACGATAATCGCCATGACGAAAGTCGCAAGACCAAGAGCCTACGGCAATTAAACCTATACCACAAAAAGGGAAGACTGTGGCCACCTAAGGGCACGCGACTCATAGATGCGTGGACACTCCTTGCTATATGCGAGCTGTCTACAGCGAAAAGCAAAACCCGGCTGATCTTGATCATCAAGGCAACACACGCCAAGCACGAATTCCAAATGGCAACACATTCCTGTTCTACGCGCACGAACAGTCCTTCTTCTTTGTCTACCGAGGATTACACGTGCTGAGCGGGCAATCAAGCCGCCCCTACAGCATACGTGATAAAGCTTCCGCCATCATTGCGAGGATAATTACAAAAATTCTTTGGCAAAAAGTGGGCATGACAGGAAAGAAGAAGGGAAGATGAAGGTCGTGGATACTTCAGTGTCCGTGGTTAATGACATTTTCCAAGGCAATCCTGAATCAAAGTGCGATATCCAAGCGAGAAATACAGACTTGCAGTCAGCGCGAAATCCGACGCTAGGGGAATAATTCAACAAAGATGAAAAGCTCGAGGCCAAACCATTCATTTTCCTATACTCATGGCCAGCGGATTCTATTTTGTCACCAGAGGAGAAAGGCCTTATACGTATGCGGCAGCTCAGGACATTTCACAACCTGTGACCGGCCTTGAAGCAAAGGCACTGGGCCTGCGGCCGTGTTAGAGTTCGCCTAGTTCTAGAACGTTTCTGTTGTGCCGAACAGCACATAATGTCACAGCTAGAGCTGGAGCACCCTAAGACGCTATTCTTTCGACTCCGAGCAGCGCCAGGGTCATGTCTCCACGTATGGGAAGGTGCGTGGCATCGGCCATTCCACCAGACATGGAGGAACCCCGTAAGACAATTGTAGCAGTGGCACTTTTGACTACTCATGGTTTCAAAGACACTCTTGCACACCGAAGAAGTCGTCCAACTTTTAAAGGTTATTGTACTGCCAAGTAATTGTCCCGCTCTTGAGAAACATGTGCTGATTTAACAGGGTACTGACATCGGATACTCCATTTAGAAGCTATTCCGTTCTCGATGTTCCATGAATTCGGTCAAACGTCCACTTTTGTAGACGATACCGCTGAGGCAGACAAGACCACTCTTGCAGACAAGACAGCGAGGCAGATAATAGCGTCAGAATAAATTGGTCACTTAGCCAGAACCTTCCGAAACAATTGAAAGCTCCAACGGGCTGGTGGAGTATTAGCAGACTGCGCGGACCATGCTGGCGATGCGATCAATTGATGTTACCCACAGAATTGGAATGGTGGGCAAGTAGGGAAGATCGTCGGCTTCTTCGAGATGAAGCTATCCCAGATTGCCAAACAATCCCAACTCACCACGACGAACAGGGATGCTGCTCTTAACTAGTGGTTCTCACCATGAAATGGAATGCGAAGTGCCTCGTACGATACCGAAGCCCCGTATCGACTATGCAGCATCGAACACATGGTACGCTTCCGAGTAAAAGATAGAATAGTCCTGAAAGGTCAGCTGTCTTTACGAACAAGAAAGGCGAATCATGCGTTCCTCACATGGGCCAAACCACGAATGAGGCTATCTACTATAAGGTTCTTGATCAGATTGGCACGGCTAGCGATCTGATAGAACCGAACATGGAAAGCCGGACTCGAAAAGATGGGATGATAGCCTTGCCTTCATCCTTGCAGACAAACTTGAGAGAAAGGAAATCAGCAGGAACATAACGTGTGGTTTTCTACACCAATCCTCAATGGAACACGCCAGATATCTTTCTTTCGGAATTTTTTCGGAATCAATCGCAGTCGGTTCTCTTAGCTCTCCCTTGCCCCTTTGCCGAGCTGAAGATATCGACGCGCAACTTGAAACCTGACGTGGCGCACGATCGGCAACAGAGTTAACTATACACAACCTCAGCCATGGCCTGTTGTAATGCGACAGCAAACCGGCGACATTACGAGGCTGCGTGCCCTGCTTGAGCTGTTCTCGAAGCAATTGAGACATTTCTACCGTGTCTAGTATCTTGGGACTGCGATGGAGTCTACGCAAAGAGTTCAGAGCCAGAAACTCTAGTAGGTTGTTTGCAGGACACTTCATCTACTATAACCGAGGAGACGACGCCATGCCGAAAAAGTATGACACAAAACCCTCGAAAATCATGAGAAGCAACATGGCTATCTTGCAGAGCGAATAAGAAGAGACTTAAGCCTTCGTCAAAACGTGTACCTTATTCGGCTATTACAGATTGAGATTATCGGCTTTGATTATGCAGTTGAAGCTGTATTGAAGAATTTCAATAACTAGTTATTGATTATTGCTGACCGCACAAGCATTAAATCAAACTCCACAGCAATCTCCTATGCTTTCTTATGCGATGTCCTAAGCTGCTCTTGGCTCG